GTATAAGTGGTTCAAGAAAACTTAATTGTGTAATTCATTTTCACGCAATTGTGCAAAACACTTTTCACCACAGGCCTCTTGCCTTGTTGTAACCTTACAAGAATAATTAACTGGATATACCGTCAAGTGGAACTGGAGAGCTTGTGGATCCGATGTTGGAAATGCGTGTACATGGTACGCTTGGTGATCAAGTGGTTAAGTTGTGAGAGTACGGCTGCTGCCATGGACGCCAGAAGCACATTAGCACATTAGCAACTTGTAACTGTTGGTGTCTAAGATCCACAGAGGCTTTTGATTTAGCCGGCTCGAATACAGAGGCCTAACAGAGGGGAAACATGAGTCCACTGGGAGGTAGCAGCATTTTCCTCAAACATATTTCATTTATACAACACAAAAATTACAATATATATAACACAAACATTCAACCAACAATTCACAGGAACATGGCCGCAGATATAATGTGAATAAATTAAGTCTTCATGTTACCTGTTTGAATAAGATTTGGGTAATAAACCCTCTGACTGCTTAGGTCTGAGATTGTAGTTGTACCACTAGGAGCTCAAGAGCTGACGTTGCTACACTTTTAAGCTTAATCGATATCAACCTTTTATTTTAGGACATTTGGCATTGAGGACCTCAATTCTGGGAAAGCTCATTCTTTGAAGGCTTGTTTGATTAAAAGGTCAAAAGATAGCGATACCGCCACATGCACGAAACAAGCTATCAACACATTCATCTCTTCTCAACTTAAGAGGTTAGCCAACACACAGTAACATGATGATGAATAATAATCCATATCACCTCTTGTCTTGTTTGGACTCCACCACCCTCTGAGGGTATGTCTGTCTCTTTAGATTTCAGTTGTTTGCTGATGATCATGTGGTGGATAGTGAATGTTTATCCCCATTAGATACTGGGCTCAGGAGGTACAGTGGGTTGTCCACTAATCAAAAGGTTGGAGGTTCCTTTTCTGCTTCTCTTGGCTGCATCTTCAAATATTTATGGGTAAGACTCTGTTACCGAACCTGTTCCTGACCGCTGTGCTGCAGGACAAACCATATGGAATCTGGTGTGAATGCTTGGTAGAGAAGTATTGTGTATGGGTAAATGTCACTTGTAATGTAAAGCACTGGGAGTGCTCAAGTAGAATAGTGTTACGTAAATGTGTTCCACTTATGTAGTGTCCAGGATATCCACGTGTCTGTAATCATTTGGTTGGTGGAGTACAACTTGAAAGACTATTGGAAATTTTTCATGAAACTTCAAAGTTATGTCGAGCAGGTAGTGGGTTCTGGGTTTCTTGAAAGTCTTGACTTTATTTATTGTTTGCATTTTTTGTTGGACCAAGGTTGACCGCATTAACAGTAGGCTTCATCAACAAAGCATCTTGTAAGCAACAGAAATATGTCACATATGTACAGGGACCAACTTGTTACCAATGGCACTGAATCAGAGGATTCCTCTGACACTCAATATCAACTTGTTTAGCATGCCCTGATATGAAATAATAATATTTTATACGTTTGATTTGTATACCCTGTGTTTTAAAAAGAACAAACAGTCCATTATTGATGACTTAAATAATAAGAAATGATAATATAGTGTACGACAGAACACTTGGTAATGTGGCCAATACAATGAAACTTTAATAAAAATCTATACAAAATGGTAGCAATGGTGGCAGCTATATGTGACAATCGTGTGTGCAGCTGACAAGCTCTCATTTCAGAACACACAGTGGGAACTCACATGTGCAGTCACTCCCCACAGGACATGTCAAAATGATCTGTGTTGCCAGACATCCTTGCTTAAAATTTATGAAATTAGAAAACATGAAGTAACATATGAAGCTGTCATCTGACTACAATGTGACTCCACATGGATTTTCACGGATTTGGGGTTAGACGCTTGAGGATGGACCCACACCCCCTTTTATTGCGTCGGTAGGCGGGGTCTGCACAGTGTAAATAGAGCCAGCACGCTGGACCACAGCCTCCTCTCGACCCATCCTGCACCCGTGGTCGGACTTTAAGATCCCACAGCTCAGAGACAACTCAGGGGACAACTGGAAACTTCACTTTCTTCTCTCCTCGGGTGATCATTCCTCGCAACCATGCGCATAAATAAATCCAAAGTAGCTATTGGATTTATAGTGACAGGGGTTCTGACGGTGCTTTTTGGAGCAGTTCTTCTGTTTGTGGGACCTGCGGTGATGAAGGACCAAATAACTAAAGTAAGTCACTCCATCCTTTCAATAACGTTAGAGTCGTGAAATGAAATGTTTAGGGAATCTTTATATATTCTTTAGTTTTTAAGCCATCTTTCCTTTATTATAAGGTTTTACACGTTTCCATTACAGGGCATGTCACACACGTCACACTCAAATGCCATTCACTGCACTTCATTGTGTTTCTATTGCTGTGTTATCGATTAGCTCCATCTACATAACAAATGGCTAAGACAACCAACCAGTGGGGTAGGTGCGCACGTTAACGCTGGACGGAGCAGATTGGGGTCTCAGGTGTGAATGAGTGTGGATGTTCGGGTTGCAATGGAGGGAACATTCTGTACAATGAACTGCAAGGTCATCATCTCTCTTCTCCTCGACGCGTCCAGGTTCCATCCCGCAGCAGCTCAGCCCGTTTTCCATCACAACTCTGACAACTCTGTAAAACTGTGCATCCACACACACACACACACACACTGTGCACACACGCACGTCCATCCACTCAGTAGAGAACTGCGCTGCAGCAATGTGACTTTATATTCTCTGACTGCATCATGTATAAGGCCTGTAGTTTCGGCCTGTTGCGGATATATTCCGGATGTGCCCGAGGCGATGTGTGCGTGTGTGGGTGTGTGTGTGAGTGGGTGGTCACTTTGCACGTCTAATTGTAATTTAAACCCATTGCTTGCGATGATAGGATCCTAATGAGTTCCAGTGATGCTATAATCACAGCTCAACTTTTCCACTCAACTTGATTTTACAAGAACCCTAACGTTGCCAATTAATAAAATCAAACCCAAAAAAAAGAAAATTCATTAGGCTTTGGTGTTTAACAGTGAAGTACACTTAAGTATTGAACAGCACATGTTGATGAGTTGACTTATTCCATTACATAAAGGGTCCAGACTTGGAAATGTGTACAAATGGGAACCATTCTGTTTTGTGTCCAGTGTCAGGTGTTGGAAGTCAGATTTAGTCGGCCCTATTTGCACTTCTCAGAGATAAATAAAAATGAGTACACTCATAGCTTCCACTCTTCAGATTTTGCATAAAGAATGGATTCATTTCTAAAATACAACCATTTGGCCTGTGAGTCTGCACAAGAAAATAGAGTTGGTGCTCTATTGATGTCTGTTAACTGTTTTCACTTCAGCATGAAGAGTCTGCACCTCTTTCATCCTCTCCTATCAATCTTGCATCGACCCCCCTTAGAGTTAGGTGGTGACCCTTTGGCAGGGCCTGGACCCTGGTTAAAACCAGCTCCACCAGCTCCCCCTCGAGTATCGATCACCATGTCACATATAAACAAAAGAAACAAATCCAGATTAAGATCATGTTTTTACTTCCTTTCACTTTAGGAGCTTGTGATGTGGTGTTAACGGGCCGTAAACCAAAACCTAATTGCCAAGCTTCTAAATGTTTCAAATGCAGCCTCCAGGCGTTTGACTAAATTATGAGAGAATGATCATATCGCCTCTATTTGGCCTTCCCTTCACTGGCTGCCATTTTAAGGCTCTACATAGTTTGCCTGAGCTTCCTCACCAACTAATATCCTGAGATCTTCTGATCAGGTTTAGGTTTAGCTATTCCTCTGTCAAGGCTGATAACCAAGAGTGACTTTGCTGCCAGGATCCTGGCCCTCTGGAATAAATATCTCTTTCAGACGAGAAACGTCACTGTCTTTTTAAAACTCCCTTTTGCCAAAGGACTTTCACATTATTATTTTCATCCATCACTGTTGTTTCTTTTATCTTTTTCTTTTAATTACCTGTTTGTGCTATTTCACTTGTCTATGATTTGAATTATCTTGTGTTATTTTTGTTGCACTTGTGTTTGACTGCTTTCTTCCGTCTTTGTGAAAAACTAAAACTTAAAACTAAAGATAGGCCTATCATTATTATATATTAACAGTGGTGGGAAGTAATAAAGTACATTTAATCAAGGATACAATTCAGA